GAAGCTATAAATTCTCTCTGCTTACCTCAAGAATGATCGCCAGGGCAGCTGTGGGGTCAGGACGTTCCAGCCTTCACCCAAATGCCACTTGGGCACACCAGTGGAATCGCGTCGGAGGGCTGTTGTGCAGGTGCTGTGTAGTCCCAGTTCTGGCCTGTACTTCCAGTTTTGGGGTGCCCTTGGGCTAGCATCTGTACCACCCATGCTTGGTGCAGGGAAGTGGGAGAAGGAAAGATTTTGAGTTGTAATGTTGTGATGGGGATGTGCCCCAATACCCTTAATGTAAGAGCTGCTCCCACTCCATGATCGGAGCATGAAATGTATTTTTACTCGGTTAAGCTTAGTTTAAAATGAAATCATTTTGAAGCAGAAAGCCAGAAATTATCAATTTGAAAATTGTCAAAATAATTCTTTCATATCATTTTTTAAATAAAAATATCCTGAAATGGAGTCTCTGCCTCCTCTGTGGGAGATCTCCTTGGTGAACTGGTATTTGCCAGTGAGAAAGCATTAGCTTCAGTGAAAAGAAAAGCTGATATTATCTTGTTCTTTTTCTTTCAAGGTCTTTGCTTTCACTGAGGTTGCTTGCTTTTACCTATATTCTTGCTTTAGAGTAATTGATAGTTCATTCTGCAAAAAAAAAGGGGTGCTTAAAAGCATATATACATATAGAAGTGTGATTTTAACATTAATCTAATTATGACAATGTTATGGGTATGAGTTTTAATGTGGTTCTTACCAGGTTGAAACATTCTGATCTCTGTTTATTCTGATCACTGCTTAACAGTGAGGAGAAGTGAATAAAGAGGAAATATGGTTAAAACACTAAAAAAGAATTTGTTCCTTGCAGGACAAATGCATTTAGGACAAGGCTAAAGAAGGGACATCACAGTAGCTGGTGTGAGATGCTTAAAACAAGGGATTTGGCAGCTGAGAATGGCAGAAATAGATTTTTAGAGCTGTAGTAAGTGGAGTCAGAAGCCCATTGCATGGGCCTAGAAGAATCAAACAGTGATAACATCCAAGCTACTGGGGCTGGCTTCTTGTGTTACTGTTGTAATAAAGAAAGGATAGGAGTCAGGAGAACAGGGTAAGATTTACTGCGAATGATCAAGAGCACAGGTTAAGAAAAGTCATATATATGTAGGTAGATAGATGTGTGTGTGTGTGTGTATATGTGCGTATCTGTTACTTATCAGGAAGAGAGACCAAGGTGTAAGATTAGATGGCTGAGAATTATCACAGAATAAGGTTCTGTGTTTGTCATTTGTGTATAGGCAGATACTGAATCAGACCAAAGCCTGTTACATTTATCTCTGCAGAAACAATAATAAATCTTGTTTGCCCGAAAGAACAATCTCTAAAAATTATTTCCCACTTCTTTCTGGTTTTGTGATGTACAGTACTATAACTAATGCCATCCTGACTCCGCTCGTGGATGCTGTAACTTTATACAGCAGCATAGTTACACACTGAACAACCTGACACTTTAGCATCTTTCTTAAAAAGTTGATGAGAGCAAACCATTCCCCTGGGGCTGCACAGGAGAGACAGGTTATAGAACATGTTGAAAAGAAAAAGGTTAGCCAGCCATGTAGGCATAATTCTGAGGAGTTTCTGCTCACGAAAGAATAAGAAGGTTTTGTGCCTGACCTTCCTGGACACCGACTCCCCCCAACATTCACCATGAAAGCATTTAAAATTGAGCCCCTTATTGAACCAGCTAAAGCAAACACAGAGCACAGTCCCTCTGAAGTGCTGTGCATGCTCCTCAGTGCTGCCCCTGCCCTCAGGTGAGCTCCCTCTCTCTGGAACAAGAACTGCTAGTGTATAATTCATGATGGTAAGTGTGTTCTCGGGTGATGCTGTGACCCCTGAACTTGGCTCTGCTTTGACAAAAGCACTTTTATCATCTGCACCCCATTATTGTATTGGACAAGGGGTGATGGGTTCAAACTAACACAGGGAAAGTTCAGGTTAGATATAAGCAAGAAGTTCTTTACAGTGAGGGTGGTGAGGCACTGGAACAGGCTGCCCAAAGAAGTGGTAAATGCTCCATCCCTGGCGGTGTTCAAGGCCAGGTTGGACAGAGCCTTGGGTGACATGGTCTAGTGTGAGGTGCCCCTGCCCATGGCAGGGGTTTGAACTAGATGATCTTAAGGTTCTTTCCAACCCAAACCATTCTATGATCCATCATAAGTGCCATCAGTGTTGTTCTGGAGTATAGCTCATGGGTCATTGAAAGGGGAACAGACATACAGGTTGGAAAAGGGGGGTGAAGTTTACCCTGAGCTGGGATTCAAGTTCCCACTCGGTTTAAGTGTCTGCACTCTTTCTTGGCAGCCCTGAGACTGCGATCACAGGATGCTCAGCGAAGCAGGCATGGGCCATTGTGAATCCTGTAACTCAGAACCATTCTGTGTCAGACTGTGCACTGAACAATTCCTGGCCTCCGTCAAAGCCTCATCTGTGACATGTCCTGCAGTTCCCGAGGGCGATCCTGTGGTTTTTCCTGGTTTCCCATAAAGCAGGTGTAATTTGTCATGGTCATTTTCAGGCACTAGGGAAGCAAGTTATTTTCCTCCGGCATCCAGCTGAGCAGACTTTGGCAAAACCATTCAGCAGACTTCAGGAGAGGTGAATCAAATGGCCTGGCTTTAAAAACCTTACCCAGAGCAGGTAAGTCCCTGCTGGAACTCACATGTCAAGGCAGAAACATCCTTTTCCAGACCTGGGAGACACAGCCTGTGCCTCTTTAAATCTGTGCTGTGTGCTGCAGTGCTCTGCATTGTTGCCATGGCAGAAATCTCCCCATAGTAATAACCTCTTTCAGAGAAGGTTAAAAAGAGACAGTGCACATGCTCAGAAATGCTGCACTTGTTCTGTTAGCAGTTTGCAGCGGCCATTTCAAAGAGACCATCACAAAGACGAGAGAGACATCAGGTACTGATATTTTTTTCCTTTGTTAGAGGGGGTGACTTTTCTCTTTCACAGAAGTCCATGCACTGTCTCCCAGTTGCACAGCAGGGAAAAAACACCCTTGAAGCCTCTCACGGTTCTTCCTCACAGACAGCAAATTCCCAAGGAATAACTGAGAGGCAGTAGTTAGGGGAGCAGTTGTTTTGCAGTGGGGCTCACATCTGGAGCTGAGCTGAATGTAGGGTGAGTGAGGTGGAAGGTACCCTGAAAAAGTTCAACAGTGTATTTGCTTTGTTTCGTTGAACCTTTGTAATGCTCAGTCAACTATGAGAATAGACTCTGCTCCTACTAAACAGGAGGCTTCTGCATTAGGGACCTTCAAATGAGGCTGGAATTATCATCCTAATTTAGTGTGATTTGGAGATGCTCTGCTGCATCCTGTTGCAAAGCCTGGTGTCTTTTATTGTACTTGCTTTAATTGCAGATCACCGTTACTTAAACAGAAAACCCAAGCATCTTGTTATAATTTTAATCCTTTTAAGTATTGTAGGAATAAGGAAAAGGATCCTAAAAGATCACTTGTAAATAGTGGGAGGGGTAGGAAACCCAGGTCTGAGGTCACAGCAATAATATTGCTAGATCTTTATTTTAGTGTGGGCTCAAATACATCTGTGACTCTACATGTGTGTGCGTGCCTCTGGCTTCTGAACCACCCCCTACTCTCATGTTTTGCTTGAGGTGCGCAGGACAGGGATGTGTATAATGCTGCTCCTTTTCTGGATGGATTGCTGATTTGCACGTGGTGCAAGAAGTGTGCATGCAGAATTTGCAGCTTCAGATTAGCTGTGTCTGAAACAGTGGATTGCACATATATGCTGCCCTTCCCAATGTGAAATACAAGCTGTTTTGGGGAGTGTGGTACTCTTGCGTTCAGTACATGCGTATTTGATGTTCTTGTGCAACGTCTTTTGCTTAGTATGCACCAACTTAAAACCAAGAAAGAGGCAGAACATTGTTCTGTTTTCCCAGGTTTAGCTCAAGAGATTTTTCATGTGGGTTTTATTGTGTTGGTACAACTTAGCCTTGTTTGAGTCTTTCTTTCATTTGAACATACAGGAAGGGAAGATAAACTTGGCTGAACTAAGGACTACCCTAGCAGTTTGCCAGGATCCTTGAGGCTTGGATTGGAATCTCTAATAGGCAGTTGTAGCTTCAGCCAGTCCAAGTTCCCTGTGTTCCTTCTTGATCTGAACAGTTTACCTCTTGGATCAAGAAAATGTCTCATTTTAAACCTGTGTTTTCATAAAGAATTTATCTCTGTGTGAAGGGGAGTTGTTGCTGGACCAGGCTTCAGGGCATGGTGTGGCCTGGCTGTGATGTTCAGGAACAAATGGATGGCTGCAAATTAAGTTCTGAAGCCCAAATTAGGAGAGGAAACAGAAGGTCAAAAAGTTTTCATGCATTTTACCATTCGTTTTACCTATGAGTTTGTGGAGGTTTAACAAAAGTCTTTTCCTTCAGCTACTTTTGTAAAGGAGTAAGTTTCTATGATCAGTGTGATGTGTAGTTAATGACAATGGTTACTTGGGAAAAGATGGTCCATAAGCAGAGCAAGCCAGAGGGTAAAACCCTCATTTCCAGGTTCAGGGGTATTTCAGCTAGCACTATAATGCAGTTTTGGTCTCAAAGTCTAACAGTGAATCAGCTGTCCAGATTTATGTACTAGTCTGGGAGTGCGTAGTTAAAACAAGAATTGGAGCCACAGAACAGGCAAAGCTGCTGGTATCCTGGCTTGCAAATGAAACCAAAAGCTGTCTATGGACTTCTGATGTTCTCCTTCATGTCTAGGGATTTTCTCTCCCCATTGGGTTTTAAGTTCATTGCTGGGAAAGTGCAGAAATACTTTGTACTTTGGTTCATGCTCTGCATCTTGGGATATTTTTTTTTCTTTCAAAGGAAGACTGCCAATGCTTTAACCATCAGGAACATGAAGTTCTTTGTCACAAACCCCTTGTACTTGTAATGTTCTCCTTGCTAACTTGTTTATGTTTCTTTATAACTGAGAAGCAGCCATTCCCAAGATGCTGGCACCCTGCCTTCTGCGAAGAGTGGTCCTTACAGTTCCTTTAGTCGTTGTGGTTGCACTGCTGCTTGTGGAGCCTGTTAAATGTGATCAGGAAGCAGGAACAGCCATACCAGCTGAAAGTATGTGCCACCCTTCAGTCCTTTCATACAGTGTGCACTGTAGTTTTAATTTTGCAGTACTTCCCATCACTGAAGCTTGTCCAAATAATTCAAACTATTTTGGACGTGTCTTGTTTATGTTGTTTTAAAACCACAACTTGATAGCAGACCAGTGCTGTTTTTCTCCTTTACCCAAGGCTCTCCACTCTGTTACCCTTGTCTCTTGCCTGTTACTGTCTTCCTTGTACTTGAAATCTGCCACCTTTTCCTTTGTACAACCCTTTCATTGTGTTAGCCCTTTCTGTGCCAGAAGTCTCCCTGTTTGATTTGCAGAGACATGTACTGAGACTTGCATTTTTCAACTGACATTGACTGTTAATGACATGTTTCATTCTTCCTAATGTCGACTGTGTTGAAGTCAGTAGTTTTTATTAAAACCATTCACAAGGAAGATGCCAAGAAAGCACATGTGTCAACATCTAATATTTCAGCCTTCAGCCACCTAATTCTCCCTTGCTCATCTGTGTGGAGTTTATTTTATGTCATAAACATAATCACAGGTCCTTGCATCAAGTTGTTGCTGTGGAAAATACTGTCCTCTCCTTTTGTCTGGCCCAAATACAGTAGCACCAAGGTTGGGTCATGGTACAACAATGAGAGAGGAAGTCTTTAATGCTGCTCAATATTTATTTTTTACATTTCTGTGTTTTTTCTAAGCCAGTAAAGGAATTTGGCAGACTCCTTTTCTCCAGCAGGCAGGATTCCTGTCTGCTGGTTAGCACACAGTTCATGAGCTGGAAGCTCATACTCCAGTTTATCAGAGGCATGTAGTAATCAGTCAAATATCAACTAGTTGCAGTATAGGCTGACAGATCCTGCAGGATTTGCTATCACTTTGGGTTTCATCCTTTACCAGACCACAAAGAGCAAACTAAACCTGCTCTTGGAATTTCTCACTTGTGCAATATTTCCTACGAAGTTGTCAGAGAGGCATAGGCACTGAGAAGCAAATAAGAGCATATGTAGAGCCTGATGATTCAAAGACGTTTCATCATGTCTATATTTGTTCTGTCTCAGTGCTGCTATCTCTTAAGGCACAGATTTGTGTTACACGATGATCAAGGCAAAGCAAGCCTCGTGACCTTCAGTCTGGATATCTAGATAGATATGGGAACACTATCTTAAACACTGCAGTTAGTCCAGAATGCAGAAGTTCTGCTTATCAGCAATGCCCAGCAATGACAGGGCATTGTGTTTATCTGCTGCTTGCTTCACTAGCTTTGGACAGAGCTGTATCATATTCAAAGTTAGAGGCAAAGTGATCTGCCTTGTGATATTGTATTCAATTTTATTCCATTAGCTTTATATTTAGAGCTCAAGTTTGTAAGATCAGGAGATAAGATTTCTCAGGGAACAGGCTCATGGTTTCAGAGGTGATTTCTGAACCATCTGAAGATGAGGTTCAAAATGTGCTCAGGGTTGGAGGAGCCAAATGAAAGACTCGGTTATGGGTTTAGTGTTTCCATTATGAACTGTGACAAGAGAAGGATCAGGAGAACAGTAATAAAGGAGGAAGTAAATTTTTAATGCAAATTTGTTGAAGTAATTCTTTTGTCATAGAGAGACTGGGTGACCATCATGATGCACCATTTACTTTAGCCTGGATTGTTCAAGAGTACATACATCAGTGCTCACCCTAAGGACTCTTTTCTGTAGCAATTTTTCGTACTCAGAATCTCTGTTTATTCCTTCTGCTTAATACTTGTTGCCATATAGTAATGATTCTTTACTAAATACTCAACTAAATGTTCTCCTAGGTCGTCCCTGTGTTGACTGCCATGCATTTGAGTTCATGCAGAGGGCTCTGCAGGATTTAAAGAAGACGGCGTATAACCTAGACACACGGGTATCGAAACATTCCATTTCCTTTTTCTTGCTGTGGAAGAAAAGGCTGTGGATAAAAGTAGATCAGGATTTTGCACAGGGCATGCAGTTAACTGTACTGTGCTACCTTCTGAGATGAGGCTGAGTGATTACATTTTACCCCTCTATGCAATAATCTGTGGGATTCTTCTGCCTTGTGGTATCAGAGACACTAGGGAGTTTAGGAAGGAGAGAACTGGCAGTCCTCAGCCCTCTGCATTGAGCCCTCTATCCTCATGCAGAGCTGCAGCCATTAGCACTGATATTCTCATTCCAAATGCTGAGCACACACCTTTGTTTTTATGTTAGGAGGAGTAAGGTGAGAGCATCATTTATATTTATTACCCAAAAGCAGAGAAAGCAAAAAGCCTACAAAAATAAAATACTCCCCTGCACGTGCTTTTACCCCTGAGGAGAGGCTAAGGAAACATCATCTTGTAGGTACTTTTTACATTGCTCTGATTCCATAATGATGGAAAATGCCACAAAGTAGAACAGCGTAGGGAATTGAACTTGTTTGGCTTGTAGTCAGTGTGGAGAATTTGCCAAGGTTGGTGTCTTCCTTTTGTGAGAGAAGTTGAATCTGTCTCTTGCTACTGCAAGCTGCAATCTGTGACTGGCTGCGTCCCAGCTGCTGTCACATAGCGGTGTCTCAGGAGGGTGCCTTTCTCCCCACCTCCTATGTACCCTTTAGCTGAAGTGCTGTATCTACACTCTTGCACAGATTTTCCAACAGAAGGTACTCAAACCTTTTTGCTTTCTTATAGTCAAGGTTGTTCACAGTTCAAAGCCTGCACTTTGAACTGGCACCTTTCACGAATGCTTTGAGGCAAATCTGAGAAGGGTCCGTAATGCTTAGGTGAAAATGCAGGTGCAGGAATGAAGATGCCTTGAATTGGGCTGTACTACAGAAAACAAACAAACGTTCCAGAACAACCAGATTGGTATGTAGGACATTTACAGTTAAACAAAATCTGTTCAATAATTACAGGTCAAATGTATTTTGGGCTTCTTCATGAAGAAATCTTGTTAATGAATACATCTGCTCAGCAGTGCAGAGCCCAAACAAGATGTTCAGCTTGTGGTGTAGTGGTTCTAGCACACCTTTGCTATCTTTTATAAACCTTTCAAATTTTCACCAGAATTTCTAATTCTTGAGTCAAGAATATCTCAACTACTAAATTCTCCTCTGCTTGTCTGGCCATGGCAGTGACCTTTGAGACACCTACAGCTGGCAGACCAAGAGAGAAGCTTTATAAAATACAGATATCCAAAGCAAGAGTAGCAACAAAAACCCCAAAGAGAGCAACTGTATTTTAATACTTTTTAAAAAATGAAAATAAAAGACAGGCAACGAGAGGAAATGAGGCTACAACAAAGGTTTGGTTAAGAGGAATGTCCTATTATTGCCTTTCACAGTTGTAGATTTGGCAGCAAGCCTGAAAATGTGGCTCCATCATATATTCTCACCAAAACAGAAGTATTACTTCCTTATCACTTTGAAATCTAAATAATTGAGTCCATATTGAGATCCTTCAGTGCCTCTGCACTAGGACAGGCCTATTCCAGTCATTAAGCTAGGAATTCTGCCTACATCTTCAAAAGACATGGAAATATTTAATAGTTGAGGACTTTTTGGAACTGCCTTCTGCAGTGTTTCAATTCTTCGTATTATTAGTCAGCTATGGCCCAATTTGATGCAAACTGAGAGTTTTAACTCAATTGCTTTCATCCACATATATATTTTACATTGACTATTTTAGTCTGTTTTACTGCTTAGTGGAGCAAATGTTTCTGTCCCTGAAAATGCAATTCCCTTTGTTAATATTCCCAGTGGAGATACTCATTTCCTTGAAAAACTCTGTTGTTTGCAGGCAATACTTCTAGATGATGACTAAGCAAATCTTAACTGTGCTGGAAGGGAAGGGATTCTCAAAAGCACAGAGAGAAAATTCCCATTAAATTTCTCCTGCAAATCTCACCCTGCAGTTCTGTACAGGGGAAGCCATGTAGTTTTGTTGCACAGCTCAAGAGTTTTCACAGTTAATTTGCCCTTGTGTTGATCTGCATTGTGTTTTGCAAAGCAAACGGACTGTAGCCTAGGTAGTCTTTTATGCAGGCCATAGGCTATATCATAGAATGTATCACAGAATGGTTTGGGTTGGAAAGGACCTTAAGATCATCTAGTTCCAACCCCCCTGCCATGGGCAGGGACACCTCACACTAGACCATGTCACCCAAGGCTCTGTCCAACCTGGCCTTGAACACTGCCAGGGATGGAGCATTCACCACTTCTCTGGGCACCCTGTGCCAGCGCCTCAGCACCCTCACAGTAAAGAACTTCTTCCTTAGATCTAACCTGAACTTCCCCAGTTTAAGTTTAAACCCATCACCCCTTGTCCTGCCACTACAGTCCTTGATGAACAGTCTCTTTCCAGCATCCTTATAGGCCCCCTTCAGACACTGGAAGGGGTCTGAGGTCTCCATGCAGCTTCTCTTCTCCAGGCTGAACAGCCCCAATTTTCTCATCCTGTCTTTGTATGGGAGGTGCTCCAGCCCCTGACCATCTTTGCATCATCCTTATCATCCCCCTTATCATCCTCGTATCATCCTTATCATCTCCTTCCTTTTACAGGATTAGACATATTTGTAACCTACACTGATGTGATGATAACTTACTGGTGGACAGGCTGGCTGCATTTTACGTAGCAGTGGGAGAAGGATCCCAGACCACTTCTGAGAGCCTGGCCACTATCCATGCACATACCACATCTGTTTGCCCAACTCCATGCTGTGTTCCATCCTTTCATTGCTGGAGCAGGCTGCAGGCTGGATTAGCTGTTTTAACAGCAGTAACCAGCTCTGGACAATCTCTTGTGGGAATATCTGTGATCCACCTCTCAGCCAAAGTGCAGTAGGTGGCAGGTGCAGCTCTGATCATGAACTGAGGAGAGGGTTCTTGTACTGCTGGGAGGAAGCTGCTACCATCAAAGCCATTCATCCAGCTCACACCCAACTCCCTACTGCATGAAAAGCTGCTCAAGACAGAGGCCAGCAGGGAACAGAACATAAAACAAATCCTGGAAAACAAATCCAGTCCATGGGCTACACAGGTTGCTCTAATTCTGCATGCTAGACACTTCCTTTCAGAATTCCAACCTGTTTGTCAGATGGATTTACCAGTGGACATGGATTACAACTTTAAGGAGCTCAGGAACTGGAATTTAGAAGTTTTTTTTGTAGGTTCAGAATCTGGACCCTGCCCTGTTTTGGTTTTTGTGGGTTTTTTGGGTTTTTTTTACATGTGCTTTAACCCACCAGGGGATAACAAACCTCTGTGCAAATGGGTTTGGGATCATGCTCTCAAAACAGTCAGAAAAGCTGTATTTAGTCCTATTCATTTTGTTCTTTATTCCTTTCTAAACTGTCAATGGTTACTTGAAATGTTCAAGGCACATTACGTTAGATTTGCCCATGAAAGTCAAAACAAAGGCTTGGAAATATTATTAAAGGTATAGAAGACAGTAAGCAGCCTTGGGGCTTATTTCCAAAGCTGTTGGCATGCTGTCAACCTCCCTTATTCAAACCATTGCAAACAATGTCAGGGAGCTGGTTAGAAGGTGGTGATTAAGTGTCTTTTATGTGTTTAGCGAAGTCCGATCAGATCTTTCCAGTTTTGCAAGGCAGCTGATACAATCAAAAGTGATACCTGATTTAATACAAACCCACAGGGCTGTGTCTAGTGATTTATCATCTGGGAAACGAACCTGATCAACAGATAGGTTTCCCTGTACTAAGAAGGCAGGTGGTAAGCAGGATGCTTACCTTACTTAGAGCAGGCCTGCTCTAAGTGCCTTCAGCTGATGTGGGTCACTGGATAACTCAGCTTTTAAAACAGAGCCTTTAATCACACAGCAGTTCCATCTCATATGAAAATCACAAGACAGGCAGATTAAGCATGTAGCTGGTTACACCAGTGGGGATTAATTTGGTGGGTGGACTTTCCACAGTAAGGGGAAGTCCTCTCTTGGATCAGACTGATTCTCAGCTACAGCTTCAGCTCATAATAGACAAACTGGGATGAAGATACGATGTTGATGTCAAACAACTCTGTGTGCTCCATCATGCATCTCCTGAAGCCACAAGTGCTGACAGTTGGTTTTTGATGCTGGTTTTTTTCCCCCTCTTACAGACAGAAACTCTGCTTCTTCAGGTGGAAAAGAGAAACC